GCTCCTCTTCTACTCGAGCCTCGTCTCGTGTGCCGCCTCGTGGGCGACATGGCGAGTGAGCCTCGCCTCGCTCCTCTTCTACTCGAGTCTCGTCTCGTGTGCCTCCTCGTGGGCGGCGTGGCGAGCGAGCCTCAGCTCGCTCCTCTTCTACTCGAGCCTCGTCTCGTGTGCCGCCTCGTGGGCGGCGTGGCGGGCGGCCAGCTGTCACTGCTGCCTTCCCTCTCGAGTGAGCCTCGCCTCGCTCCTCCTCTACTCGAGCCTCGTCTCGTGTGCCTCCTCGTGGGCGGCGTGGCGAGCGAGCCTCGCCTCGCTCCTCTTCTACTCGAGCCTCGTCTCGTGTGCCTCCTCGTGGGCGGCGTGGCGAGTGAGCCCCTCTCGAGTGAGCCTCGCCTCGCTCCTCTTCTACTCGAGCCTCGTCTCGTGTGCCTCCTCGTGGGCGGCGTGGTGGGCGGCCAGCTGTCACTGCTGCCTTCCCTCTCGAGTGAGTCTCGCCTCGCTCCTCTTCTACTCGAGCCTCGTCTCGTGTGCCTCCTCGTGGGCGACATGGCGAGTGAGCCTCGCCTCGCTCCTCTTCTACTCGAGTCTCGTCTCGTGTGCCTCCTCGTGGGCGGCGTGGCGAGCGAGCCTCAGCTCGCTCCTCTTCTACTCGAGCCTCGTCTCGTGTGCCGCCTCGTGGGCGGCGTGGCGGGCGGCCAGCTGTCACTGCTGCCTTCCCTCTCGAGTGAGTCTCGCCTCGCTCCTCTTCTACTCGAGCCTCGTCTCGTGTGACTCCTCGTGGGCGACATGGCGAGTGAGCCTCGCCTCGCTCCTCCTCTACTCGAGCCTCGTCTCGTGTGCCGCCTCGTGGGCGGCGTCCCGCGTCAAGGGTGCTGCTCGCGTTCCGGAAGGCGCCGAGGGGGGGGGGGGGGGCTCTCTAGTCTCACACGCTTTGTGCATGCGCCTGTGCGCTGCCTAGAGGCCGCGCGGCTGGTGGTGTGTGTACGGGGGTGGTGCGGAGTCTGACTCTTGGCTCTTGCGCGCTGGTTGCTGCCGCTGTGCTGCACTGGCGCGCGCGGCCCGGCGCGCGGCCCGCGGGCGCCGGTGGGGGGGGGCGTCGCGAGCGCCGAGCGCGACCGGACGGTTGTTT